TGTTTAAAATAATATATTAAAAAAATTGTATGGCTCAAAATAATGTAAGTGTAACAATCACTAAAGCCGTGGATGCAGCCACTGAAATTATACAACCAATGATATGAACTTAATTTCCATGACAATGAAAAGACTTTGTCAAACTAAACTTAGATGTCAAGTTTGAACTTTCTTCTCCTTACATAATAAAATTGGAATAATGATAGCATTTGGGTCTTTGAACTCAATGACGTTAGGTCATGTATAAGTGTATTTTCTCACTTTCAAGACAACTGTACGAATCCGATTCTATGCGAATTTGTTCAAAAAAAAAATTGAAATAATGATAAATAGAATAAAAATTTAAAATTAATAATATAATATAAATTATATTATTTAAAATATTAAAAAGTAAATCTTATATTATTTTGTAATTTATTTTTTATTTTTTAAATTTATAATATTATATATCAAATAATTTAATAATATGATATATCCTATATCATTAATTAAAAATGTTTGTCTCGAATTTTCATTATACCTACTATTACTTTTTATTGGTTAATTTCTTGTTTGTTTTTTTTTGCTCTAACTCCAAGATCACTTCTCCTTTTATTAGAAAAAAGAAAAATTTGTTCTCATCTCTAACTATACTTTCATTTTCATAAAATAGAAAAAAAAAAATGCTAAGTCGTGTCAAAATCAACTTATGATTCAAAGAACATTCACCAAATCCCAATTCGATTGGAAAGCCGCCTTACATTTCCCATTTTACCCCCTGATTTTCCTCCGTTAATTAACAAAAGCAATCCCCTTTTCGTCTTTTCACATTCGAATCCTCGTTCCGTCTCTTGGAATTTTATTAAGAAAACAGTTCCGTCTTCGGTTTCGTTTTTTGAATCAGGATCCCGACAAACATCTGGCGAAGCGACGTCGTTTAGCGCTCTCTCCTTCTCTGATAAAACACCCTTCCGCGGCCTTTTCCCCACGACTTCTTCTCCCTCTCTTTGAATTTTTTTTTTTTTTTCTCGTCTGCATTCAATTCTACCGAATTCATCAGTGTTCCTTTCCGTCGCCAGAGAGGAAGAGAGGCATGGGATTGATCGTAGAAAGCGAAGACAACGACGTCGTTCTTGTGCCGCCGACTAATTTCTCGATGGTCGACGAAGGCGTTTACAGATCCGCCTTGCCTCAACCGTCCAATTTTGGCTTCCTCCAAACCCTAAATCTTCGATCCATTATGTGAGTTTTAATTTTTTTAATTAATGTTCTGAATTTTTTTTTTTTTTTTGGAGTTCTTAATTTCTGCGGCGGTTTGCATCTCGATAAAGAGCCCATTGTTTTGCTCGCATTGACGAAACAGAGGAGATTTTGTCTGTTTTTTGATACATTGATTCTTATTCTCGCATTAATATGTTCTCCCTGCGGCGGTGTTTCATTAATTTTGCCCGGAATTTCGGGAAATCAGAATTTTTTACGATGATTCATTTAATACGATGTTGTGGAAATTTTAATCTAATTTGTGTTCTAATTATTTATGTACATATGCAGATCAATTCCGTAATTTGTGTTCTCATTTTTGGAATTTTTTTTTCCTTTTTGGCCTGTTTGGTTGCTGAGAATAAGAAAGAAGATTGTAGGGGAAAAAAAGGCTTAGTTTTTATTTAACTTCTGTGCTTCTTATGCAAAATTGACTTTTTTTGTTTAAATTTGGATCAGATACCTGTGTCCTGAGCCCTATCCAGAAGAAAACTTGGAGTTTCTTCGCTCTCAGAATATTCAGCTTCTCCAGTTTGGAATCGAAGGGAAAACGGTATTTTTAGTGTTTCTTTTTTTCCTCTCTAGTTTGGAATAAATTGGCTGTTGAACATGTCAAGAGGGTCATTTGAGATTGTTGTTGTTTTTATGATGGAATATAAATGTTTAAAGTAGGTAGATTAGGAAACACCTGAGTCACTTGTTAAGGTGTAACTAATGGTATGATTGAACTGAAATAACTGCGAATTATGTCTTGTTTTTGCTTTTCAATACATTGTAATTTAGTTGCTGTTGTTCTTGTTTACAACGTCATTGGCATTTGCAGGAGCCTTTTGTACCTATCCCCAAGGACACTATCATGGCGGCCCTCAGAGTTTTAATTGGTAGGTTTAATCTTTAGCTGCATTTTTAAACCTCCAGTAGTCTATTTTATGCATTTCTTAGATTGTTTTATTGGTGTTTCCAGATGTGAGGAATCATCCTGTTTTGATCCATTGTAAAAGTGGGAAGGTATATTCCAAATTCAGTTATTGCTACTTTTGCTGTTGCTATAATTCTGTCATTAGATTACAGAAATTTTGTTGTCATTTTTCATGTTTTGATGGACTTAATATTTCATTTGAATTGATTGGAGCTTAAGTTGAAACAACTACGTGTTTGATTCTGCATTTTATTTATTTTCTGTTGCTTTCTGATTGTACAATTCTAGAGGCTGTTGGTTGACAAACACATTACAAGCATTTTATTCTCTGTTTCTGTCCTGAATTATGAGCTCTGGCACCCTGCATGTTGGTCTTATCTTTGTTTGCATTAGATACTCTATCTTATTGACTTTTTATCTTTTTCTTTGTTACATACCACATCAGGTTCAAAATTTTCCAAAACTTCATTTCTTTTCAATTTGTGCTTCAGATTAGTTTTTAATAGAGACAGATGGTGATGATTCCAAAAACAATAAAAGTTAACATCTGCATTTTGTGTATCAGATTCTTCTTGTTTATGTCTAGTGGGACCATCAGAAGAAGTGTAATGGAGTAATAAGTTTTCTGTGGGTTTTAAAACCAAAACTGGGCATACTTAATCCCTAGGAGCCCTTGGATTTAAATAGACAAATACCATAAATGTTTGTTAGGTTTTTCTTTCACTTGACAATTAAAGATTGAGTTCTTGCTGAAGGTATATTTGTCAATAAAATGTAGCAGTTCTGACCTTTGTTTTTGTTATTTTACTGCAGCACCGGACAGGTTGTCTTGTTGGCTGCGTGCGAAAATTTCAGAATTGGTGCTTGTCTTCTGTATTTGAGGAATATCAACGATTTGCTGGCGTGAAATCCAGAGCAACTGACATGAGATTCATTGAAACATTTGACATTTTGTGCCTCAGACAATGCCTTTACAGCATCATTTACCAGTACCATGGATATGGTTCAAGAAAGAGGCGTTTACTTAATAGAGAAGAGAACTTAAAGAAACCCCAGATAACTTCAATCTAGTAGAGCACTTGGATATACTCCAAGCATAATTTCAACTTTCGACCCAGGACATTCCCCTTTTTTTAACTTTGGTTTCTGTCCGCAAGAGGTCCTTTCATGTTGAAGTTTTCATACACAGAATTTTCTAAGGATTCATTATAGGCACCTTTCATTCTGGTCGATCTAAACTGATTCTTTGTTAGATTTTGCATATAGAAGGAGAAGAGTCTGTCTGTGAATCACAAGTTCACAACCGGCATCTGATAGGTTTTTTAGCCCTGTAACGCCATAAGAATTATGGTGTGTTTACCGAAACTTACACAGAAAATATGAAACAAGGTTGAGTTCCAAATCTCTTCCTTCCCTTGTATTTTCTCGTATCATTTATGTTCATAGACATTTTCATGTATCATTTATGTTCATAGACATTTTCATGTATCATTTATGTTTATAGACATTTTCATGTATCATTTATGTTTATAGACATTTTCACGTATCATTATGTTTATAGACATGTATCACGTGTAAAGATACATGAGTTCCTTTAGTTAATCCAAATCCTTAAATCTTTAATTGAACTAAAATATTTCAGTTAATTACTTTCTCCGTTTCAGAATGATAAATATTTTTACTTTATCTTGGATTATAAGAATTTGGGAATAATTTCGTATTTTACCTATCTTATTATTAAAAAATATTTATATCTTTAAAAATATGGAAAAACAATGATCAATTTTGGATAAATTTTAAATTAAAAAATATATTATTTTGTATACTATTCTGAAATAAAGGAATAAAATTTTAAATTGAATTAATAAAAATAAAAATTTTGGAACATCGATAATTTGGAATTAATTGAAATATGCCTACTCCTCTTTTAACCTATCCTACTCATACATTATACAATTCAATTGCAATTTTTTAATTTTAATAATAAAAATGATATAATTACAATATCACGTGATATTGTAATTATAAAATATACTATATTATTATATAATTAATTTTTTTCACTCAAAATTTTACCTCTAATATTATATATATTTATTCATTTAATAATATATCACACTCATTTATTGGCACATAAGTTATTTAAACAATAGAATTTATTTAAAATGCTAATTTCTTTCATTTCATGATTAACAAATCCCAAGATCTTAAATTAAATTACTTATAAATAATAATATTGTTACATATATTATATTAACTAATATTATTAACTAACTCTTCCTTGTATAAATTAATATTAATGCAAAAAATAATTATGTAATTAATATTAATGACAATTTAATATTTTAGCTATTACACTAAGGAAGGGTATTATAGACAATTTACATAATTTTAATACCCTTATGATAAATTCAATTTAAGCATTTTCACTTCTAATAGACTCAAAGTTGAGCTTTTACTAAATAAAAATGGAATGTCTGATGAACTGTCAAGTAATTTTTTATTTTTATGTCATCCTTAATGCATTCTTGAAGCCAGTTACTGACACTAAAATAATGTTTTTTTTTTCAATGATTACAATGCCTTTTCTCTCCTTTACTCCGCAGCCAACCTATTTAAAATATGATTCTAGCTATTACAACTCTATTCTTTTATTGTAGAATATCAATCCATCCCAAAGCAGGTGCCAACAGACAGAGCTACTCGAGTCTTCTGACAATTGGCTCAAAGAAAATGGCTATCTCAGGTCGTATAACCCATCACTTAATAAAAAATACCATACCAGAAAAGACCATCCTAGCTCTTAGGCAATATAAGAGAGCTGAATCATGTAAAAGATGCCTATGTAGATCTGCTCACCTACTTTAATGCATGATCTAATATCTGAATTTGTACATAAGAAACCAACCTAAAGTGAAAAAAACAGGAGACATTCCATAACATGCTAGCTTTATGTAGAGATACTTTCACCTGCCATCAGTTATCAGCACCTGAATTTTGGAAAGCAACACACTAAACCCGGAGAAAAAGGGAAGCAATTTGGCATCCTTGCTGGCAAAGTTGCAAGGTTACCCCAAGCAACCCAATAAAAGAAATTTTATAATCAGCAAACTCCAATGTATCAGCAGTACAACATCTTGAAAAATTCAACTAAACAGACATAACTAGAAAGAAAACCAACCTGTCAAGCCACTTTTGCAGAATGAAACTCTACTCACAACCCAGGGAGAGACTATTGTATCTCTTATGGAGCAAGGACCTATTGAGAAGCATAATTCTTTTGAAGCTTTGGCCTCTATTAATGACAAGCAGGCCTTTCCTCCTCTTCAGGTTTCTTCAGTGTCTCCAAAATCCCTTAAGAAGCCTCGACAGGCTTCTTTGGGTGTAGCAGCTGTTACAAAAGCCTCGACAGGCAGAGAAATTGCAAGAAAATTTCAAATCCCTCCAATGAGGTATCCCTTCTTCTATATCATAAATGAAACTCATATTTTGGAATGTGAGAGGGATAAATAAGTCTACAAAGTATAAGTCACTTAGACAAACATTGAGGAAGTATGATGCAGACATAGTTTGTCTTATTGAAACTCATGTTTAGAAGCAAAATTTTGATAAGATTGCTGGATATCTTTTGCCTGAGTGGAGTAGATTTTGCAATTATGATTCTGCTCCTCTAGGGAGAATTTGGCTTTTTTGGAAGTCCCATGTAACTATAAGGATATCTAGTTCTAATCATCAGGCTATACACTGTCATGTGGTTGACAATATTACTAAGAGGTACATGTTTGCTAGTTTTGTGTATGCTGATAATTCTCCTGATCAAAGGAGACAATTATGGGATGAGTTAGTTGCTTTAAGCAGGGTGCTACCTAAAGTGCCTTGGATTCTAGGAGGTGACTTTAATGAAGTTAGATATCTGCAAGAGAGGTCTGATTGGATCCAAAACATGCGCTTCTCCAAAGATTCTATATTGTTTAATGACAGGTTGAATGAAGTTGAACTTTCTGATCTTCCTGCTTTTGGGCCTAAATTTACATGGTCGAACAAGAGAATAGAGGGACTCATTGTTAAAAAGCTTGACAGGTTATTAGTCAACAACACTTGGGTTAGCACTTGTCCAAGAACTAGAGCAAAGTTTCTTCCTCCTGACATCTCAGACCATTGTGCTGGGTCTATAACTATAATGGAAGTGGCAACCCAAAATACCAGAAAACCTTTCAAAATTTTCAATTTTTGGACAAAGAATGAAAGGTTTCTAAACATTGTCCAGGAGGTTTGGTCATCTGTCACAGTTTCAGGATGCTACATGTTTCAACTTTGTAAAAAGTTGAAGGCTCTTAAGGCCCCTCTACGACAGCTTAATAAGGATTGTTACAGTGACTTGCAAGGAAGGATTCAACAAGAGACTTCAAAGCTATATGCTATCCAAATTGATTTGTTAGCTAGTCCTCATGAAGATTTGGTTTTGGTGGAACAAGAACAAGCTAGGAAGGTGGCAGAGTTATCACTTGCTGAAGAAGCCTTTCTGAAACAAAAATCTAGAGTGCACTGGCTACAAGAAGGAGACCAAAATACTACTTACTTTCATAAAGTAATGAAAGTTCGACAAAGTAAGAACCTGATAAAAGAATTGCATACTGAGGATGATAAAATACTCACTGAGCATGAGGATATTGCAAATGAAGCTATTGGTTTTACCAAGCTCTTCTAGGGAGTGGGGATCCTTATTGCATTGGAGGGGATCTTGATCAGTTGAAAGCTCTCTTTGACTTCCAACTTTTTGAAGCAACTCGAGAAGCACTAATTCAGCCAGTTACAGCAGAAGAATGCAAATTAGTTATTTTCAGTAGCCCAAATAACAAGAGCCCTGGACCAGATGGGTATACTGTTGAGTTCTATAAAAGTGCTTGGAGCATTGTTGGAGACTTGGTTACAA